TGATGGTAAGATGATGTCATGGGGTAGGACTGGATAAGTCTGACTTCTTCCTACTCCATTCAAGCATGTACTAGGTATAAGCAAATTGATATTGGATTAGCATTTGTTGGATATGTGTAAAATTATGTGTGTTGACATATCAACTGTCTTTACATGCTTGAAAGAATAAATCAAATCAAATCAAATCAAATAAATCAAATTCATTTCCAGCACATTTGGCTATTTGAACTGCTGTAGATCATAACTCCCAAGAGTATGTTGTCATGTAACTAACTGCATATTAAGTGTATAAATACAGAATAGACTCTTTTATACTAATTTATTTTATGCTTATTACTGGGTCACCTCTGTGGTTGTAGTACTCTGCTGATTCGCTGCTCTTGTGGTCACAGCATAGGGCACAGGCATCAGGCTTTGTTGTTGTAATGAGCCCCATCATGGCAGATCCAAGTAATGCTTAGAAGAGCCCATGCTATGCAAATGTGATCATTTACCTTTTGTTAGTGGATTGGAATGCACTTCTAACCACTGTTTTCTCTTTGCAGATTGGATACTGGAACGAGTACACGAGATTTGTAAATATTATGGACCCGCAGGTCTCCAACGACTCCTCAGTGGAAAACCGAACGATTGTGGTCACTACTATTATGGTACACTTTCCCTGCAGTTTTAAATGTTTCACGTATTCTGCCACTCAAGGTCATGGTGTTGATTCCGAAAAGTGACACATTCTGTCCTGGGCGGGTAGAACTACATCTTGTTTGTGTTGCTTTCCATCCACTCACTACATGTTGAAACAGTCGGTAAAAAACGGGGGAGTGTTTCAACTGTATCCGTGTGGGTGTCAAAGCATTGTGATTTTCCATACTTCAGTGGCCTGTTGTAGCAGTGACATCACAACAATGGTATAAGTGGTAATGACTGACTCCATTAATTACAAAAAGCATACAAGTGCACACGTAAGTAGACCTGTCTGTCCTCATCAAGTAAATGTTCAATGACACTTGGGATAGACTGGCCAAAGAATGACTAAAGGAGGATACCGCAATGGTTTCTCAAGCTGGGCAAAGCAAAATAAACAGTATTGGAGGAGGTATAAGATGTGGTATTTTTCCTTGTTATGTTGCTCCAATCTATTTTGTATTGCTCCACCATGTGTTCTGTGTTGAAGTATACTGTAACTTCTAGCCGGTGATTAAGAAAAGGTCATTTTCTGGGCTTTTTATCAAAATCAACATATGACAAACAAAAATTACTTAGATTTATTTCTTTTTAACTGTATTTACTGAACTAAAGCCCCTTTCAGACTGGAACCCTGAAAAAATCTAGACTTTACCCAGATGAGCAGACTTTACCCTGCCAGGTCCCCAGTACAAAACCTGCATGATGTGCAAGTCAGCTGGAGTGAGTCCATGTGAGAATACAGCATCATATAGTCTGGATTATTCACATGGAGCTAATTGGTGAGTTGATGATGTTCTGTCACGCACCAGTGCGAAATCCAAAGAAAACAAACATTTGATGGTGCAGAAAAATGGTAATTTTCAATGAAGATGCCAAGAAAATTTTTTTACTGGAGACACAACAAGGTTCACGACCTTCTGTTGTTAAGAGCCAGTGCCAGGATCCTCAGACCAATTCAAGGGATGATAAGAGACTCTGTTGTTTAGGACCAAATTACAAACTGGCTACATGACTGTGTCATGTCGCACATCCTGCGCACTCTACCCAGGTGCTCCCCCCTCACATAATCCAAACAGAGAGAACGCAGATGATATAAATTTTCTCCCAGTGTGTGCTACATGTGTGAAAGGGCAACTCTGACTATAGTCCAGATTTCCTATGAGAAAACAGTATAAATGTTTCAGACTTATCACAAAAGTATTGACTTACTGTATAATGGGTTTGTAGTTGCCTGATGCAGTGCCTCGTTCTCTGCAAGTAAATACTTTAAGATGATAAAGAAAAATGTTTGAAAAATGATAAGGATCAATGGATTTCATGTTAGATTTAATTTGCATTCCGCAGCATAAGTGATTGTCACTTGATAGCAAGAGGAAACATTTAACATCTAGATGAGAAATACAGTCAGGAGGAAAACACACGTTAACTTGAAGGAAACATTCAGTGGATCCAAGTTGAAAGGATACATTCAGCACAGAACAAACAAACCATTGCTCTCCTACTTGCACCCTAATTGTTTGTGGCTGTAATGACAATGCCTGCTCTCCTGAGCAGTCCTATTGTTTGATAATGATGATGTGCTCAGTGAGACAAAAGGCGAGCTGCAGCAGCGTCTTGAACGGGAGAGAAAATTAGCACGCTCATGCTCTCCTGATGTAATTCTTCCATTTATCCAGGTTTTTCTTTTTTTTTTGCATTTTTCCATATACAGCAAAAACCGGCTTACTGTATTTGTTTTCCTTTTGTATTTATTTATTTATTGGAATGAAACCATGTTTAACTGCACATTGGTGCAATGTGACTGAATATGTTGAGATACTACTGGCACTCTCTGATCCCTCTCTTGTCACTGGCATTTACTTACAAAATCCATTGCCATTACCATCACCACCCACCTCTGAGCTGGCCCACACCTTGACGACCACTGACTCCCGGGTCCACTAAAACTCATTCTGGCTGTGTGTTCTCACCCACAGAAATGGTCAAATTTGTTCTTGCTTCCTGTTACCTTCCAATATTGTGCAGCAGAGTTGCACCTTTGGGCTCAGAATGGGTTGGGTGCACTGGGCTCGGTGTCCACTTGCTGCCACGGCTTGATGAAAGCAGCGTGAACACACGATCACGCTACTGTTATCAGTGCATATTTGTGCAATCACAAGGCATCATCTGTGCATGCATGACTGCACGGATGTGGTTATAGCAACTCATAATATGTTAAATCTCTCTGAGTGTGTGTGTGTGTGTGTGTGTGTGTGCGTGTGTGGGCATGGGCACATATTAGCGCATGTATGCATATTTCTGTATAACTGGATGTGTGCCAGGGCAGTGGAGTGAATAAACCAGTGTGTGTTTGAATCAACAGGAAGCTCCTTATGTGATGATCAAGAAAAATTATATGCATCTGGAGGGGAATGACAGATATGAAGGCTACTGCGTCGATTTAGCATCTGAGATTGCCAAACATGTTGGAATTAAGTACAAACTGTCTATAGTAATGGATGGCAAGTACGGAGCCCGAGACCCAGACACCAAGACGTGGAACGGGATGGTGGGTGAACTGGTCTATGGGGTGAGTACTGGGAGCCTCTGTTTTGCTGATTACATGACAGTTTGCAAGGAACTTCAACATGAGAGGAGATCTCATTTTTCTGTCTTAAGGTTATCACCAACCCATTTTTTGAACTCATCATCTCTTGCCCAGTTCAAAGTCTAATGCTGTCTCAGGAAGCTCAGCGGTGAGCGAATTTGTCAAATGCAGCCACAGGCATTGGGGAGTTGGTGATCATCTTGAGAGGGAGAAAATGAAATCATTTCTCAGTGCTGTTCATTGCAATTGATCCTTCTTGCTTAGACTAGAAAGCTCTCTTTCTTAGAGTTGAAACAGAGGTAGGTACATGAAAACAATGAGTCCATATGGCAAAAACACTGAAATCACTTTGATGAATGAAAGATTGTATGCCTTTGAAGTGATTGTGTAATTATGTTCAGTGTTTGATGTCTGTGATGAATATGCCACATTGTAAATTCACAGCTGAGAAGATCTGGTTTAGAATCAACAGCTAAATGGGTGTTTGTGGTTTGATACAACAAGATCCATGTGTGTTGTGTTCCATAAAGGTCAGACCTCTCGCTTTAGTGAAGGGTCGTGCCATGTTTTACATCTGACAGAACGCTGGGGTTTTCGCAGCACCACAAGCATTTCAAAATCCCACCCCTTTCTCTCACCTTTCTCCCACCTTTCTCCAAGGCCACAATAGTTGAACAGGGGCCAAATACAAAATGTATGAGGGCTAGGCTTCCTCATCTGTTCAATTTCCCAACTATCAGCCTGACAGATTGCCTGGTTTGATGTGCTATAGCCACCAAATTATCTTTCAAATGGGAAAAGTCCACTCCCTGGAGATGGAAGGTGAAAAAATATCCCAATTACATCCCTGTCAAGTCTTTACAGGCCTGTAATTTTACAGCAGGTGGGTCGGGACTAATGGTTTTGTGCATTTCGACCTTTTGACCAGTAAATTAATTTGTTTTTAGTTGTCTTTTAAAGGTTAGGCCTAAGGCTACTCTTTATTGCTTTGTTTCTCTCACCATTGATTGAGCGCTGCTTACGCCTGCACAAGGATTAAATGGTTATAGCCCTTCACAATGTTGTGTTGACAGCATAAAAAAACTGTCATGTTTACTGGGTCTATTTGTGTTGCTCCTGGTTTCTACTTGTAAGGAACATTTTCTGCCTCATGCTGCTACAATCCAATGTTTTCTCCATTTCAACATAAAAAGACAACAATACAACAAAACAGCCTTCACAGTGGCTCCTTTATAGAGCAGCAGTTATTTAATTAATGACATACCCACTAGCTGCAGTAACACAGTCTAACTTGATTAATTATTTTCCTCTGCTTTTACAAAGATGCCCCTTGTGATTTTGAAAAAAGGCAGCACCACCTCCACAGATGTGATTTGATAACACAATATGACTGAGGCAGTGCAGCAAAGGGTGGAGAAAAGAAACAGTTTGAGAAATAACATTTTAAAAACTCATTTCAGAATAGGCTGTGTGTGGGAAATCCAGTGTTGAGTGGCATGTGATGAACTTGCAGATTATTTTATATACAGCAGCCTCCTTACTGTAACATTCTGAAATTTTTAATTATAACCATTTATTGACAAAGGTTACACTTCTTATAGAGACATCAGACAACTCTCTGCTTTCCTTACCTTACTCAGTTTTATTGAAAATTATATTTGAACAGCTGTGATTCAATATGCAGTTTGGTTGTTTTAAGTGAAAGGTTTTTTTCTTTGCTGTATTTCATTGGATCCTGATTAAGGAATCATTTGGTCAAACAGGACTCCAACCCCCTCATGTCTTGGTGTTTTTGTTTTGTTTTTGTTTTTCAGTCTTGCAGTGCACTCGTGAGCTTTCCCTCCTTCTTACATCTCAGTGTGGCAACATTTCAGTATTAATTTTACTGTATAAATCTCAGATGTATTAGCTGCATCCCAGTTCATAACACAGTGCAAATCCTACTCTGCTGTTCCTGTGTGCATGTGTGTGTGCACATGTTTGACTGGTTTTACTCACATGTGGGAACTAAAACCTGTTTACACACTCACACTGTGGGGATTCAGCCTTCCTTCTGGGGACCAAATGCTGGTCTCCACTGTTTAAATCATTGAATATTAGGGTGACAACTTGGGTAAGTTAGGGTTAGGTTAATTTTAGGGTGAGGGTTAAGGTTAGGCAATGAGTGACTATGGTTAAAGTTAGTGTTGAAATGAATATGAGTCATTATAAAGTCTCTATGAGGAATGAAAGCCTATGTGTGTGTGTGTGTGTGTGTGTGTGTTTCCAAATGTTTTCAGGTGTCACAATCAGGGGTTTATTTCTTTTGATAATGTAAAATGTGTGCTAACATCCTTGTTTTATGCTTCCTCTTTTGCTACAGTCATTCACACATGCATTTAAAATGCCCTGTTTATTTATGCAGGTCATAACTAATGCTTGCTGTGCATGTCCCTGTTTCCAGAGAGCAGATATAGCTATTGCACCTCTCACCATTACTCTGGTTCGAGAGGAGGTGATAGACTTTTCCAAGCCCTTTATGAGCTTGGGCATCTCCATTATGATAAAGAAGCCACAAAAGTCCAAGCCAGGCGTTTTCTCCTTCCTGGACCCACTGGCCTATGAGATCTGGATGTGTATAGTCTTTGCCTATATTGGGGTGAGCGTGGTCCTGTTCCTGGTCAGTCGGTTCAGTCCTTACGAGTGGAATCTTGAGGATCAGGACGACACCAAAGATCCCCAGACTCCCCCTGACCCACCCAATGACTTTGGAATCTTCAATTCCCTCTGGTTCTCCCTGGGTGCCTTCATGCAGCAGGGCTGTGACATCTCCCCCAGGTGGGTTACCAGGAGTGGACAACGGAGCAGAACAGAAAAAGAAATTAAATACTGTTTAATGCTGTGCATGATGAGATGTGTTCTTAAGAAGCATACAGAATCACTCAAGCATATTTTTTGTCTTCTCCTTTTAGGTGTCATATTTGTAGCTAAACTCATTTCACTGTTGTGTATGTGTAACTGGTTTTTTTTTTAGGTTGTATGCTAAAAGTATCATCATGAAAATGGCTTCATCAATACTTTATTAAGACTAAAAAAATGAACTTTGACCCTAATTGTATTACACCTAGTTAAAGAATTTTATTAGAGTACATTTCAAACACTTCCTCTGGTAAAGTGCTGTTTTAGAGTGCTGACGCAGTGGCAAGTTGTTTTAATGGTACAGAAGGAAATTCTGATGACCGATGCAATTAAATACATTAAACACAGCTGGTAGATCTTAGCGGTTTGATAGGCACCACATGTCACGGTGTAATTACATTCTGCTCTTCTCTTATCATCAACCTCCCTCTCGTAGGTCTCTGTCGGGCCGTATTGTCGGCGGTGTGTGGTGGTTCTTCACCCTCATCATCATTTCCTCCTACACAGCCAACCTGGCTGCCTTCCTGACGGTGGAGAGGATGGTCTCTCCTATAGAAAGTGCTGAAGATCTGGCTAAGCAGACAGAGATAGCATATGGCACTTTGGACTCGGGCTCCACAAAGGAGTTTTTCAGGGTGAGTAGTGCCAAGGGACTGTTTGGTTTCACACACATAGCATCTGACTTATCAGCCAGCTGTTCCTTTGTTTTCAGCTCAAATTGCAAATAATTCAAAGGCCTGAATATTTTGCACTCAGGCATGCTGAATCATAAAATCTACATTGTGCAATGTCCTTGATCAACTCCTACTCGCAGCTTTTCCGTTTTGTACCTTTAGCACGCCACTCTTGACCCATGCAAGATTGTTCCAAATGAGGCATGTTGGCAGCGAAACAGTTCTTGAACTCTTATGACATGAACGTGAAATTTATGCAGCAGTACTGCAGTGTACAACCTTGAGGCTCTGGGGCTGTCAGCAGAAAGTGTGATAACAACACGGAAGACTCAGAGGTGATAAAAACAGGAGGCTAATCAAAGCGGCCGCATCAGACTCAAACTCAGAAGGGTCAGCTCATGAAATATAATTAGCTTGCTGGCCATGGCTGGCGAATCAGACCTGATGAAGAAAAGCCCTGTAGGTCAAATAGAACTGTCCAAAAGACATCTCAAATGGAATAAGCAATATGTTTGTCAGCATAAGGGACTAGTCCAGCAATTAAGTCCTAAATTAACTAAAATTTGAAGCAAAAGTATATTAGCCTCTGAAAGGCAACCAAATGCAGGCGTTTAAGAGTGCTGCATATCCTTAAGGCTGATCAACCATCTCTTGTGAAATGTCTTAGCAGGTGGCATGGCTAAATCAACAGTCCAACCCTTTGCATATGCAGAGCAAGAAGCTGAAAAAGAAAGCACTCTCCCTGTGCTGACGAAAAGCCAAATATGACAGTCTTTTATCTTAGGCTCCCTCATTACTCATCAGCAGGAGAGAAACTATTCATATGTTTCACAGCTGCAGCATGTTGACAGAAAGAGCAATTCATTTGTATTACCCCTGGGTTGAATTTCCTAGAACAACAAAATGCTAAATCAAATTCATGTTTTTTCACACAATGAAGGACAAGGGAGAGTCTTCAAAGCTTGATATTTAAAATCTTTTTGTTTTAAGTCCATCAACTCTTAGGAAGTGGTTGTAAAAGGCTGTATACCGAGAATATAATACTGTATATCCTGGAAAACATGGTATGACAACAACACTAAATTCTCCAAGGAACACCTCACAAAATCTGTCATCGTTTTCTCTCTCATCAGAGAGGTCACACAGGTGTATAGAGTATACTGTGTCCTTGTGTCACAGATATGATGGATACCAATTACAGATTATACTTCTAGTTTGACAATGGGGCCATTTACAATCTGCTCGTAGAACAGTCCAGCTCTGCTCTGTATAATAAGTGCCTTAGTTACATCCCGGAGTCTTCAAATACAAAATGACATGTGTGAACCACTATTCCAAGGGACTTTTAATTAAAGCTGTAGATGGCTGACACGGGAAAAATACACTAATATTTGTGTAAGTTCTTTTTCAGATCTGTTTTTTAGGAAATACATCAAGAATTAATTAGACCCATATGTCACCAGCCAGCTGGAAATTTTGGAAATTTTAAATCAAGTCCAGTGTTTTGAGCAAGGCATATGCTATCATCTCGGACCCCGATTCATTTCACCTGGTTTGTTTTCCAGAGCTACCTGACAAGAAGAACAGTAACGTACATTTGTAGTGTATTTTTGCTTTATTTTTAAGCAGATAGTCAAAATTGGAAAAAAAAAAAGTACAGTAACATAAATGTAGCTTTGTAATAATGAGTGGCAGTTAAATTAGAGTATGTCGTTGTATTCTGCTCCTATCTGCTGACATTCTGGGCATATGGCTTAATACCTGACAGTGACAGTATTCACATCACCATATGTGTCTTCATGTGGTGGTGGGAATAGAGAGAAACTGTAGAGGAATTTTCAAAGAGAGTGGTGTTACACAGATCTCCCAGAAAGCCCCTCCACACAACCAACTAGGACAGCTGGCCTGGGAGCCCGGTGACGTGCCCAGCGGAAGCTTGAATGGCTTTCGACGCTTGGCAGTGTGGCTCTACCCACTTTGGCTGCTCTTCCACAAACTACCCCGCCTTGTTTGGACACCCTCTTCTCCCTCCAGCCTCGTCTGTTGCTTTACCTAGAGACAGCGCGGTACAGCTTCAAGCTTTGTGTTGCTCTTCCTCAACAGAGCAGCTGTTATGCACTGCTGCACCACTGCGGTTTGGTTCATCATTTTAATTCTTGCCATGGATCTTTTCATGCAGTCAGTTGAATATTTGTGTTTTCAGTGATTCGAAAATGATGAGCTGTACCAGCAAGGCCATGTTTATCCTCTTGACGAGGTTTTATTTCATCAAAAGGCTTGGCCCAGTTACATTGTGAAATGTACATTGAAGGAGAAGCTGGGTCGTGATAATGGCTGAGATGATAAAATGGGCTGATGTGACTGTTTAATTACGTGTAAAAACCAGGATGAGACCATCAAAGACAACCGCACCGCTGTCCCTTCATGCACCTCATTTAACAGCATAACAACGAAAGAATGATAATTGCCCAAAAAAATGAAACCACAGCATTGTTTTCTGTTCCCCTCAAAAGATTATACATTACCCAAAGCCTCGACAGCAAACATCATACATCTTACCGATGTGCAGGTGTGGTGGATGGGAACAACAACTTGAGTACAGTCACAAGTGCATTTTACTAAGCATGAAAAAACAATTTCACATCTCAGCTACTGTGGCATCAGCAGCTCTTTTTATGCAGAGCAGACCTGCATTAGTCCAGGGCTCTTTGAAGAGGAGCTGGCAAAGAAATTTATACAAGAAATTCTCAGGTTGCCCTGCAATCCTATGCAGCACAATGTTACACAACTCCCTGAGCTCTTGTCACTTTCTGTTTCTATACAGTGCTGAGTGAAGTGGAGGCTCCTATAAAGATTAGAGCCTGTTTGCATAAAGGAGAAAAGCATACAAAGGTGAATACAGACTATAGTGAGATAGACCTAACCTATGAGGGAAGGCATGGTCCTCAGAGGGCCTTGTCAAACTTTAGAGCAGCAGCAGCAGGCACGAGAGGATGTACTGGGGTCCAGCAACAAACATCAAAGACAAGCAATTGGTATTCAAGGCATTGCATGTGGCACTTCAGTGACAAAGTACACCCCAGGAGCCTCAACTTTCATTTCAGCATACTTAAGATATAGGTAGTCCTGGCATATAGGATAGTGGGAAAAAGTGGTCCACAACCAGAAATGGAAGGGAAGTAAAGCAGGCAGAAATGTAGTGGTGGGTGTTTGGAGATGGCATTTAGATACTCAAGCAGTGGAGCATATGTGGGAGAGGCTATAATGAAAGCAACCTGCAATGCCAAAGAAAGAATACAAACAGGCTGAAGTTCGAAGGGCAGTGGACAGAGGTCTGGAAATGCTGCAGAACTTGAAATCAATACAGATTAAGTGGTTATTTAGAATGGAGATGGCAATTTCTTTGACTTTGGACTTTAATCACTTGTCTCTTCTCAGACATTTTAATGACATTGCTGGAGGTTTCTGGAGCAAAAACATCTCCAATAGATTTGCCAATGATCATTGCATTTGCAAAAAAGCAGATTCCTTTTGTCTGTCTCCTTCAGTGTATGCTCTAGATTTACTCTAAATTTGATTTAATCTAAATTTAATTTTACATTTTCTGGCCGTCTTTACACTGATATTAATTTTTGCTAAGGCAAAGGTAAGAAAACAGAGGACCTTGGACCAAATCTGGCCCTCCAACAAAAATATTTTGTCCTCTGGCTAAATGTTTCCATTTTGCTGTTTGCATCAAACATTGATATTATTTCTAAATACGTCTACTGTAAATACCTATAGTATATAAATGCATGACGTAACAAATACCTAACAAATAAATAATATTATCCACTTAACTGCATGCAACTTAAAGAAGTTGTACCCTGTAAATAGGGTACTTAGCATATGGCTTTATCATATTTGAACACAGCAAATTTGCATCTGACAAACACAAATGCTGTCGGTGGCAGGCTAACAGAAATGGTGCACTATTGTTTTTTTTTCTCTCAAAAGTAACAAAAATAGTATATTAGCTTATGGGAAAGACATTTGCACTCAGACACAATCCTAAAAAAAATTGTATACGTTTTGTTTGTTTTTACCACAAGCTGTTAGTTTTTTCAGTAACAAAGCTGTAGAAAACAGGAGCTACCTCCTAGAACCAAACCGCAGACAGGCAAAATTAGCTTCTAGCTGGTCAACGCAGCGGTACATTTGGCAGCTAAAGATCCAGGTTCCCTCAGGAGTTAGTGGAAACTAAAACAGAGTTAAAGGTGAGTGAATAGTGGATTTACAGTAGATTTAGCAGGTCACACAATTTCAGATACTTGTTAATTTTGGTCCATATGTGCTTCATGTGTAAATCTGTAACTTTTTGCTGACAAGTGTGCCATATCAGCTACCAGTGAAGTGTTTATAGCTTATTTTATAGCCTAGTGTAATTCTGGTATTTTAAGGTTTAAATAAATTAAAGTAATGAAATTTAAAAACATGTGCCTATAAAACTGTGGTTGTTACCCATTCAACAGTGCTGGAAATCACTGGCACTAATGTCTGCATGTGATTTGGACATGGACATTCAATGAATATTTTTAACCTCAGAAAAAAAAGAAAAAGCTGCCACTAGTTTCCCTCTGCCTTCCCAGTAACCTTGTTCTCTAAGTCTTCTTCTTTTTATTCCTCATCTTAGGCTGAAATAACATACCTGACCTAGTCTTTGTGACTATTACAAGACAGCAGAAAGCTCATTGCTTCAGACGGATTTGCAGGAGCAACACCTACGCAAATGATGTAACAGTGTCGTCTAAGTAGGAGGACTGGCTGACAATCAATTTTATAAGTATTTCATTATGAATGAGCCAGACTGTGATTGCTTTGGTATAATTTGAAGACATTTAGAGGAGGAAGGTTGTGCCATTTGCAAGTTACCCAAAGCTGTGATTCTTTTCACTTTATACAATAGCTATCAAATGTAGCGACTCCTTGGTAATTGGCTGGTAGCTCATTTTGAATACAACAAAATGTTGTAAGAGGGTGATTATATGATGTGAAGGAGAGCCACATGAATAAAGCCATATTTATGGCAGTATGTAATTGCTTAACAAACTGGGTGCTTATTGATGATAGACTTGTGCAGTTATTTTTCCCAAATTAAATTTTAAATGACCACTGTGGATGAGACTGTGGATGATTACATTTTAAAGAAAATGAGAGGAGACTTTCATTACATTATGGTGTTTTCATATATGTGTGCTGTGTGTGCGTGAGCTTCTGAGTATGCACATTTGTGTGCCAGCACTCAATAACTAAATATCTTTCCTCCTGCTGGGCTTTCTGATTGTATCTTGCTCTCCCCCCCAAATCTGCTTTAAGTGTCTCGTTGGTGACTTTAGTTGCAGTGGAATCGGCCTATTATCACACTTCATCCCCTGCTCTGATATTGATGAATTGACTTCATAAAGCACAGAGGGAGCACACTCTGTTGTCAGTAATTAATGCCCAGATTCATTCCCTTCGCTTCATTTGAGGAGCTGTCTGGACTTTTCCTACTGTCGAACAGATCAGCCCCAGGCCCTTGGGGAAATTGTCCTCCAAACTAGTGTCCTTTCCGTGATGTCTGACACATGCAAATTGAACACATTTAACGAGATTGTCAAGAAAAAAGATCACGTCTATTTGCAGCTGCTGTTGCCCCTGCCCATATCATTGGCATTAAAATAGAACGGCCATTGTCCCGAATTCAAGGCGTTTTCATCTGTGCAGGGAGCATTGATCATGCAAACTTTTTTAATATCTTCACCCTTGGATTGATGCTGTATGACAGATGCCTACAGTTACATTGTATATGATTACATACAGGCGTTGTGGCACTTTTGTTAGGTCAAGGTTAATGCTTTTGTTTGTTAAAAGAAATGCATTAAAGATGGTTATGCTTTTACCAGTTCAGGACAGTAATGAGTCTGTGTATTGATGATGGACATGCAGAGCCACAGAGCTACGTGTGTGTTGTTATTCAAGCGTACTGTGTCTTTGGCCTTTCATAATTCCCATTTCCTAATTATTCTTAAATAGACTGTAAAGCCATCTAACATTTATTTACATTATCAGTTAACCTGTGCATTTTTTTTCAGTTCTATGCTTTTCTGCACATTGGTGTGTTTACACTGAGGTGGGATAAGAGGTGCAGCTGAGGCCATGTTTATGCAGACTGTGTAGCGCAGTGAGACCGTGATGCTCATTCTGACACAAAATTGCATTCGCCTTAGGACCTATACAGACCATCTTTGTCGCAAACACGGGTGCGTGGCAATGTTCCTAACAGCAGGCTAGGCTGGGAAGCATGAGAACAGGTACCCAAATGTATTTTAAAGGCCACACCAACTTAAAACAAACCCTTAAATTCACAACCAATTTGCTGGAATTCACTGAGAATAATTTCTTGTGAAATTATCTGAATGAAATATGTGTGATAGTTTCGAAAAATTACTTTTAAATAATATAAATGAACTAGTCCTCAGTAGGTGGCTATAGATATGAATATGGTTGAACAGGGCTGGTACACTTTCTGATGCACTTTCTGTTCTTATACGAAGCAGCTCCTGGTACAGTACTGTAAATTATACTTAAGTGCAATACATCTGCAATATACATTTTTCATATGTACAGTATTTTCTATTTTTCTAATCACAGCTTAGGAATTGAGTATATACAGTAATGGTCAGGAGAATAACAGAGAAAGAATCTTTTGTTGCTCCATGTCATATATTTCTGTGGATGTGGTCACGGTGACTCTGCAACTCATGAACAAGTATTACAGTTTCCTCGTGTGAAAATCTCCTCTGAGTTGTTCCAGATCAGCCATCATGACATCAGTCAAAGTTATATTTCCTGCAGTGGTTTTAGAGGAGAGCTGGTTAGATTAGCCATTACTAAAGTCCACCCCACCTCCAGCTACTCATAATGAATTCATCCCATTAATAATGTACTGTATTCAGGCTCTCTTCCATGTTGCACCAGTTGCGCCGGTGGTCCCCAAACTACAAAAAATTGTTTGACACGCACATACAGTAAGTGCCTTCACCTGGTATTTGCTTGTGCACCCCATTTCAGGAAGGTTACATCTATTGATATAAAACGAAGCAAATCCTAGAAAAACATTGAAAATAGCAAATGTTTAACATCATTAGGCATGTTATCTCACTAATAATGCCAGTGGCATTCCTAAAAAGCACTATCATTGGGTAAAATACCTGACAAATGAATGGTAATAAAAGTGCATTATACCTGCTAAACATGCTAAAGTTAGCAAATAGCTCAAAGTACAGCTGTGTCTAAGCCTCACAGAGCAACTATTACTGTCGATTCTTGGCTTGGCTTGACAAATGACTGTTTGTGTGATCCAAGTTCAATGCTAACATCAAAGTTGTTGCCAGCCAACCAATAATTTCAACACTGCTGCTACATGACTTGAGACCATGTGAGATTAAAAAATGCCGCAAGGAAGGGTCTCTGACTAATGTTCATATATCAACTGATTGTCCATATATCACAGTAGATCTTTTGATTCAGCCAGTTCTTCAAAACCATCCACTCAATTCATGTTTGTCTGGCCTTTACTTTTTTTTTTTACATGGAATCTGGTCTTCTGTACACACATTGTCACTTGGGAGCTGGCTCATCACTGCTTGAACCAGGATCTGTTCACAGTGTGAAATTCCTATGTGGGAAAAAAAATCCAGCAACACTGAATAATTTAATTGATGCTTATTATAGATAGAGCTCAACTCCCCCAGATTTTACAGGCTCACTAAGCCTGACCCCAGGCGTTGGGAAAATGCTCATCTGTCTCACTTCCTGATGAGTTGCCTTGTATCTGTCTAACCCGCTTTCTTGTTCACTTCTCTTGCTTCTTCTGCATATCACTTCTGAGTCACAGTTGAGTGACTGTAATAAGTTCTACAAGTTAAATTAGGACAGTTAAATTTATCCAAATGTATCCAAAACCTTTACGTGTTTCTATATAAATCATCATTATCTACAAGTCACTGTCACCAAAGTTTAATTATTGAACATAATTTTGCATAATCAAGGCAGAAGAATGCCAGTATTTCTACTCTAACCCCATTTTGCTTGACAATACTTCCTATACAGGTGATAAGTCATCCTCATTCACTGTGAATTTGATGTTGCAACATATTATTTGAAGACTACATTTATGGTGATGAAGAAAAATGGATTTTGTAAATTCTTGTTCTTCATGATCTTCAAGTCCACCAGCTATATATATCTGTGGAAGTATTTAAAGATATCACACTTTCTGTGCTGCATTCCAAGATGTCTATAAATACTTCATGATGGGAGTTTAAACAAAGTGATCATTAAGCACAAAAATCCTACAAAATCCTTCACACGGATATGATGTTTGGGTTTCTAAACTAGTTCTCTTCTCCCTTTCTTTCCTGCACAGCGATCCAAAATAGCAGT